ATGTCTTACCTTTCAAAACAAATCCTGTGATGGTTTATTTTAAAAAACTAAAAACCATCATAGTACCAAATATAAAATAGTCTTCAGACAGAGTCACAAAGCTCTTGGGATTTCCTCCCCAGCATTCTGACTCCCATTTAGCAGTGATGTCATAATGTCCTACTCAGTCATAGGACCTTTTGGGCTACAGAAAGGAAGCTCCAAGTAGACACACCGTATTACTGGATAAATTATATCAATTTCCCAATGAGTTTTATATTGTTTATTTTGTTATCTGGGGTTTTTTCCTCAGAGAGTAGTACTTTGAGGCCCACAATGTCAGGTGAGTAAGCATTTAAAACTTTCATAGAAATAGGGAAGAAGGATGACCCATAATCATAAAAAGCTGGTATGTGGCAAGTTTTTACAAGATAATATGAAGTTTACTGTTGGAAGTATGCTATAATTTAGACTTTAAATATTTGCCTTAAATATTTAGGGGAAAGTAGTAAAAGAAACCCATATATTTCTGATCCATGATGCATCATGTTTTTTTGTTAGCATTACCTACTTTGATGTCATCAAGTGAAGATGCATATAGAGAGGCAGAAGAAAAGTATAAGGAAGAAGCTCACACTGGTATTCCTGCTAATGAGAAAACTGGTGACCATTACAAAGATATAAAACAATGTAAGTTAATAGCAATACATGTACAAAAGCTAATTATACTGGCTTAATTTATCTTAGCTACCCTTTTTAAACTCCTATAATCATTCCATTTTCTACTTTCTGAATTTTAACTTACCATATAGAATTTTCAGTGCATAAAATGAAATCCTTATTTCCTTCCAAACTATGAGAGGTTAGAAAGTTTAACAAGTTTCAATTGGTAATTACTTATAACCAATGCCCGGTTCATCATGGCATCACACTAGGACCAACTGAGTGGCTCAAAGCAATAGAAATTTATTCTCTAACAGTTCTAAAGGCCCCAAATCAAAGTTTTGGTCAATGTAGTAAAGGCTCTCACCAAAGCTGCTTGGTGAGAATCCATCTTTGCTTCTTCTAGCTCCTAGTACCCACCTCAGTTCCTTGGCTTGTGGCAGCATCACTCTGGTCTTTCCCTTCTTTTTTACATGACATTCTCCCTGTATCTCTGTGGCAAATTTCCCTGTGCACAAGTCAGACAGGATAAGGACCACACCCTGACTTCATGTTAATTACATCTGAAATGACCCTCATTCCAAATAAGGTCACATTCTGAGGTACTGGGAGTTAGGACTTCAACATATCCTTTTTGGGTGAACACAATTCAACCTATACAAAAGCAACTTCTAAATGTTCAGAAGGTCCATTAAAGTTTAGTTTATAACTCACCATTCTTCATATGGGCTTTCTTCCCATGTCCTTATAAGGTGTACCAGTTTAAAAAGTGAAAAGCTCCTAAGAAATTTCATTAAAAAATTAAGATTAAATTTAATTATTCTGGAATCTCTATTAATCAATGAAAAATAGAAAAAAATAAAGATATACATATACTCAAGTGCTATGGAAATTTTAATGCATTAGTTGTATTTCTATTTTTTCCTTGATGAATCAATATCCCTCTTTTGTAGGTGAAAAAAAGATCACTGAGCCAAAAAGATTTCATAGTTACCAGGAACCAAAGGCAGGAATTGTGTCTAATCTACCAACAGCTGCCTCTACTGTGCACAAAATAGTACAATGCAAATCATGCCCTTTTTAGGATGTACCTCTACTTTGAATTAAACAGAGCATCAATGAGTCAAGTGCCTGATAACTACTTCAATTAAATAAACGACCAAAAAAAACCTGTTATATTTTATACATACTCCCTTCATGCACACCCATAACATAAATGGGATCTTACTAAAAATTATTCTTTGACTTGTTTTATCTCGTTTAATAACTCTGGAACTCTGGCACCTGTGCCTCATTATTTTTAGTGGGTACATATTATTCCATTAAGCAATATTCCATAATTTATTTATCTATCATCTTGTTAGAGAATTTAGGGTATGTATAGTTTTCCCCTTGTACATTCTTCTCATAAACACACTTGGGTGTCTCTCTTTGTACTCCACTAAGAAATGAATACATAGGTGTATATTAAATACATACATGCATTCATATAATGTATAACATCTTCTGTCATTCTTTGAGATTTTGGAGAGAGGAGATAAGTGTGTGTTAAGTCTACAATCTTGATCCAATTTACTTTGACCCATTGGTTGGGTGAACATCTACACTAACTTTGAATTACAACCAACTCCACTGATCACTCTTAAGGGTAGGGTACACATGGGGACCTTGTGAATATATACAGGAGAATTTGATTGTTATTGAACCCATATGTGCTTTTTTAGCTGAATTTTTCCATAGATTAACAGAAAGATCAAGGCTCAATCCCCCTTCCTTGAGTTTTTGATGTCAATACCAACAGTGATAACATTGTACATCTACAAATCTACTTCATACGTCCTCACGTATTTTCCATGCATTTCCTCAACAATCACTTCTCAGAAAGAGTCAGCGAGCAAAAGTTTGGCTTTTTCCCTCATGAATTTTAGATTTATTCCTTACCCTACTTTCTTATTTTGTAGATGCAAAATGACTCAAACATTTTTTGTTCCTCTTCTTTTTGGAATTAATCCATATGTTTTTT